ATATTGTGTTATTATTATATACATATAATTTATGTATTAGTTATTTTTATTTATTTTTTACTTATATTAGTTACATTTTTGGAGCTTTACAGACAGTTGTGTGTTTTCCGGCACACAGATCTAGAACATAATGCTTAGTGTTTGATTCTGTTTGGTTCTTTTTCCCTTTAAATGACTATTTCAAGATAAATGTAACAATATACATGTATTTAAGTGCTGCAGTTAAAGCTGAAGCTGTCATTGAAAGCGCTGCTCTGACCGGACTAACCCTGAGAGGAATGACATCATGAAGCGCGTCTCTTCCTGTCTGCGCAGGAAGTGCGGTGTGAGGTCATAATAAACGGAGACTCACGGTGACCTCTGACCTCATGATGCTAGGTTTGACCTCTGACCTCTCTGAAATCTCTGGCTGCGTTCACAGTGGAATATTGTATGTGGCCGTTCACATCTGATCCGATATCGAAGATGATGCAAATGAAAGATCAAGTCGTTGTGAGATACAGTACGTGTAACGCAGTGTTTGAAGTATGCATACTATATACTGCAGGAATAATGTTAGTATGCAGCTGGAGGAGCTTCACATAAAGCACACTCATGTGTTTTCTCTCTATAAGGTCGTTATGAAACGCAATAGAATTGTGCTGAATGAAAAACCAAAGTCAAAGCTGAGACACGTTTGCATTTGTGCTGATCTGTTTCACTGCATGATTTCAGAAGTGTTTAATTAAGCCAATTAAACTTGTCTGTCTGTTCCTGTAGAACGCACATGCGGTTGGAGCTAAAGCAGATCATTGATGATGTTGATCTGACGTGTTTTTAAGTGATTTTATGGAGCGGTTTGTGAGATTCTGTCTGTGGTTATTCCAGCCTGACTCGTTAATGGAGAGCGTCTGTGTGTCTCAGGTCGTCGTATAAGGACTGTAACACTCTTCACCTGCCGATGGAGCGCTTCTCTCCCGTCAGACGCTTCTCAGACGGAGCCGCCACTATCCAAGCGTTCAAGACCCAGCTGGAGAACAACAGCCTGATCCGACAGCTCAAACAGGTGCTGACGCGCGAACACACGAGTGACCCTGGTCATGTGACGTGTGCGCTCGCTCAGTGACGTGTGTGTGTGTGTGTGTGTGTGCAGGAGTGTGAGCAGCTTCAGAAGATGTACGCGGCTCCGCAGGACGAGCGGCTGAGGGAGCACACACAGCAGCAGCACATTCTCTACCAGCAAATACAGGTCCGGCTCGCTCCGCATGCTCAACACTGCACTTTCATCTTACATTTTCACTTTACTTAAAGTTTGTCATTTTGGGTTTTTTATTTCAGTTTTAGTTATTTTAGTACATCAAGAGTTAATTAAAAATAGCTCAATGAAAAATGTTTTGGTGACTAGATGAAACAAGTTTAAGTGTTTTAAAGGAGACACATTATGCCACTTTTTACAATATGTAATATAAGTCTCTGGTGTCCCCAGAATGTGTCTGTGAAGCTTCAGCTCAAAATACTCCACAGATCATTAATATAACATTTTCAAAAAAATGCCTATTTTGAGTGGAAGCAGAATCACGCTGTTTTTCGGGCCTGTCTCTTTAAATGCAAATGAGCTGCTGGTCCCGCCCCCTTTTCCAGAATAGAGCTGCGCTATTACAGCTTGGACCTGCTAAAAACATCTGTTTTGGTTCTGATTATCATGTTTATCGCGCTGAAATCATGCGTTTTAAACCATATGAGTTTGAACTTCTGATATATGGTTTTCTGAGCGCACACATCCGAAGCACACGCACAGAAAGCGGCTGTCACAGCATGTGAGTACTAAACTAAGTTCTCATTCACACACAAGTTTACGTAAAAAAAAAAAAGGGGTTACAAAAACAGTGGGTTATGTCTGTGAAGGTAAACAGCTGGGAAATAAATCACATGTTTATTTTAGATCTGTGTGGCAGCAGCAATATACAGTAAATAAATCAATAAATCCACTCGTTTAAAAAGTTTGATTTCTAGACCTGGAAAAGTCATTGAAATGAATTAAACCTTTAAACATCATGGGCATTTTATTAACAAATATACATTTTTCTAGTAATGCCAAACTTTATCGGACTGAAACGGAGTAAATAGTGTTTCAAGTCCTGATCCAGTGAATCGTGAACGACTGGAGAAGTCCTGCAGATTCATTGGTTGTAAAGAGCAGAGAGAACATCCAGCTCTGCTGCAATCCTGAAATTTAGTTTCAATTATATTTTAGTGACTTTCCTAGTCATTACAGCAGATTAACAAGAGGCGTAGGAATATTTTTGTGGATGGTGGAGTCAAAAAGGTTTTAAGTGCGGTTAAATACACAAACACACATTCCTGACTGTAACTATAAAGGGATCATGATATTGTTGACTTCCTGTTTGCAGGCCCTGTCTTTGGGACATGGAGAAAACCAGCCCAGCAGTCACCTGACATACCAGCTACAGAGGTGAACACACACACTCACTCACTCACACACACTCACTCACTCACTCAC